GGAGTGCTGATGCATAGGGGCACATGTACCCCAATGTTCACAGCAGCACTCTCAACAATAGCCAAAACATGGAAAGAGCCTAAGTGTCCATCAATGGATAAATGGATCAAGAAAATGTGGTTTATCTATACCATGGAATACTCCATGGCAATGAGAAAGAATGAAATCTGGCCATGTGTAGCAACATGGATGGACCTTGAGGGTGTTATGCTGAGCGAAATAAGTCAGGCAGAGAAGGACAGATACCGTATGTTTTCACTTATAGGTGGATTAGGAGGAACTTAACAGAGAACCGTGGGAGAGAAGGGGGAAAATAGGGGGGAAAGGGAGGGAGGCAAACCATGAGAGACTCTTGAAAGTTGAGAACAAACTGAGGACTGATGGGTATGGGGAGGAGGGGAAGGGGGGAGGGGCATGGAGGAGGGCACTTGTGGGGATGAGCACTGGGTGTTATATGGAAACCAACTTGACAATAAACTATTAAAAAAGGAAAAAAAAAATGTAATTTCCAGGGTGCCTGTGTTTCAGTTGGTTAAGCGCCCAACTCAATTTCAGCTCAGTTCATGGTCTTACACTTCATGAGTTCGAGCCCCATATCAGGCTCCATGCTGGCAGGGCAGAGCCTGCTTAGGTCCTCTTCCTCCCTCTCTCTCTCTTCTCCTCCTCTGCTCTCTCTTTCAAAGAAACTTAAAAGAATTGTTATTCCCAATACTGGCAGTCCAAGGCAAAAAGGCTGCGATGGCGCCATGCTTCTGACGGAGACCATGGCCGTATGTTCTGCCATGAAAGTCCACTTCCATGTCTGTGGCTCATAAAAAAAGTCACAGATGTGCACAAACTACAACAACATTCGTTGTTCCTCACTACCTATTTTCTAACAGGAAACACTGCAAATAACCTAAATAACCAAGCCTCTGTTAAGAACACAAACTGGTACATTCACACAATGAAATACACTGTAGCTATTAAAAAGTGTTTAGGTGCAAGTTGAATTTGAGTCCTCCAAGGAATTATGAGTAAATGGCATAACAGATTCATGATAAGCAGTTCCATGAAATAAAGTGGCCACCATACAGTATCATCCCACTTTTGTTAGACAGGTACACATATTTACTTACATATGCACTGACATCCACCAAAATGTTTATAGTGATCATCCATTAAGCAGCAAATCAATAAATTATTTTTTTATTTAAAAATTTTTATAGTTCACATGCATTAATTGTAAGAAAAAAAATTAAAGATCCCTTCTAAAAATGTATCTTTACGCCCTACCACCCAGCTATCAGGAGGCCTGGCTGAGGTGGGAGGCCAAGTGTTTCATTGTTATCACAGTCTCATCTGACTCCATGATTCTTGTTTCTTGCAGCACTGGGTGAGCCCAGTCTTTGAGCCATTGCTGAAGGGCACGGTCTCTACTCCAAACCACACAGAAGGAGAACAGGGGCAGGGGTGGGGGGTGGGGAGGAGTGTTCCACATCACTCTCAGCAAAGCTCCAACAGACAGCAGAGGAGCCAGTGGAGCTCAGCCCCAGAGAGCACTTCTAGGCCAGCCTCTACCCTCAGGCCAGAGCCAGCCTGGCTGCTCCAGGGTAATGGGGTCAGACGGGGGACACCAATTAGACACCTTCCCCTTCGGGCAAAGTGGTGGGTGTGTCCAGGCAGCATTCAAAGTGGGGTGGCTGCCTGAGGGGGAAGCACCAATGACAGTTAGAACCTGTGGTTCCCAAACCCTGACTGAGCTTTAGAGCTACTCCAAGAGCACATTTAAAAAGGAAAAGAAAGAGGGCGCCTGGGTGGCTTAGTTGGTTGGGCGTCCGACTTTCCCTTAGGTCATGATCTCGCGGTTCATGGGTTCGAGCCCAGCGTCGGGCTCTGTGCTGACTGCCAACTCAGAGTCTGGAGCCTGTTTCAGTCTGTGACTCCCTCTCTCTCTGACCCTCCCCTGCTCACGCTGTCTCTCTCTATCTCTCTCCTGGAAATAAAACATTAAAANTTGGAAATAAAACATTAAAAAAAAAAAAAAAAAAAAAAAAAGGCAGAAGACAGACTCCTATTAGAAATCGTGTGGGTTGGACCAAGGAATTTTTTTAACCTTCCCAAGTGGTTCTGAAGCAGACTACCCACATACCAGTGCTCAGCGATCGTTTAACAACTGCTGGCAAGAAGCAACTGAGAAACAGCCATCCCATCTGACTCCAATTAGATCAGCACCACAGTGAAGTCAAAAACGAAAAGCCTCCAAGATGACTCAGATTACACTACCTACTGCTTCTAACAAATCTCACCAGTGAGAAGCTTATCCCCCTTTAACTTCATGAAATCCCCTCTTCTAAGTGACAGTCTCTTCTATCTGGTCCTCAATGGACCCTGGAAACAGATCATCTCTGTTGTAAAATGTGTGATTACACTGGGAAACGCAAACACACCATAACAAAAAATGGTTACTGATTTCCCAAGACCTCAATTCCCTTTTAGCCGCAAAGAGTTAAAAACCTATTCCTACTGTGGGATTTTTTAAAACCTGGCCCCCAAATTCTCTGACACTCTACTCATCCAGAAGTGGGGTTCTTAACATTGTCAATGTACTAAAAGCAACTGAACCATACATTTAAAATGGTTAAGACTGTGAATTTATGTTATGTGAATTTTACCTAATTATAAAAAGTGAGGTTCTGTGTCTCCTCTTGAATCTGGGCTCTTGTGCTGCCCGACCTGTAGAACATGGCAGAAGCTGTGGGGACCTCTGGACCCAGGCCTTAAGAAACTGGAGGCTGCTTCCATTTCCTGCCTTCCAGGATACTTGGAACCCAGCACCATCCCATCAGGATGGGTAAGCAGTCTCTGTACAGGGTATTTAAGAGAGGAACTGAGGTCCTCGAGCCAGAGCCCCTGCTTCAGTCTCAGCCGACAGCCAGCATCAACTTAGCAGCCTTGTGAAGGAGCCACCTCGAAAGTGACCCTCTGGCACCTGCAGAGACACCTCAGCCAGAGCTGTGTAGAGGAGAGACCAGCTCGGTGCCAAGCCCTGCCTAAACTGCAGATCTGTGAGCAAAATAAGTGCCTATAGGTGGTTAAGCCACTACGTTTTATAATGGTTTATTACGTAGCAGTAGATAACTGGCACTTTGATATGACAGAGTAGTTGGTCAAAAATGGCTTCAGAAAATTCTCTACCTGGTACATAAATTGCAGTAGATTCCGATAAGCATAATCTGTAGCACCAAAGAACTCCTCCACACACGTGCTTCACAACTCAACTGAGTGACAATCTTTCTACCATGTTCACCAGAGTGAAAAAGAAGGCATCTGACTTTCTTGCTAAGACATTTTTTTAAGGGGGGTGGAGAAGAACGGCCAAAAGACCACAGAGTACAAAAAATCATGTGAGCTCTCAAAGCACAAAACTTCTGGATGGCTCTCAATGCATCTTCTCAGAAAGAGCCCCTGGAGAGGACGCGTCTCAGCACGTACCTGCTCACCTGCCCGCCTCGCCTCCAGCCTCTCGGGCGGGGGCTCGCTTTGCAGGGTCCGCAAGGCTTTCGCAGCAGCGTCGTGTTTTGCAGCCTGCCTCGTCTTTCCTTTCCCATTGAACTGCTGTCCTCCCACTGAAAGCTCAACTTGATAAAGTAAAGGTGGTACTGGAAATGGGTAAAAGTACCTGAAAGTAAACAGGGGGTTAGCAGAATTACAATCTCAGATCAACAAGTCACCCACACAGTCTCTGGCAAATCCCAGAGCTTTCCTTCATCATGGGTCCTAATCACGTCAGGATCTGCTTGCCAATAATGACTCCTCCTCAGTATATCCAGAGACTTCATGGGCTCACATTGGATCACAACTGGCACACGGGATGTGCAAACACTGTTTAGCAAGCACACTTATGTTCCACGAAATAGCTTATAGATTACATGAGTTCAATTTATAATGTAACCCAAATTCACAAAATTAGGCTTTGGCGAAGGTAGAAAACTTGCTCTATTTTCTCATATCTGAGAGACACACTTGCCTGTCTCCAGAAAAGGCTGGGAATTTTTTTCTTAATGTTTATTTATTTTGAGAGAGAGGGAGAGAGACAGACTCCCAAGGAGATCCCACTGTGGGGCTCAAACCCACAAACCATAAGATTATGACCTGAGCCAAAATCAAGGGTCTGATACTTAACCAACTGAGCCACCCAGGCTCCTCCAGAGCTTACATTTTCTAAGTGGCTTTGCCTCCATCCAAGTCAGGTAGGGAAAGGAAGACTTCCATTCTGATCGTTAACCTATCCACTAATGTCTTAAGACTGCCCAGCAGGAAGTTTTTAACACGTATTTTCAGGTTTCAATTAATATTTTTACTATACCTATACTCCAAGGCTATGACAAAGCATATAAATTCAAAGCCAAAAAATATCCAATAAACAATAATCAACAAATAAATCTAAGAGTGCTAAGAACCCTGGTGTTTGTGGGAATCATGCTCAGGTGATCTTTAGGCAGACGGTGTCAGGGCACAACCACACAGCTAGTGAGGAATATGCTCTGGCTCCTGCTGGCAACAGAAGTTAAAGGAGCAGCATCAAGACATGGTTCCAAAGGCACCACAGCTAAGATTGACTTCAGCATCTGACAAGCCGTTATGTGCTCCACAATCTACAGTTTCCTCTTCCATGTCAGAAACGAGATACATTTTCACCTGTACTTAAACCAACAGCGGCACCTGCGTGGCTCAGCCGGTTGAGCGTCTGACTCTTGGTTTCAGCTCATGTCGTGATCTCACGGTTGTGAGATTGAGCCCTCCGCTAGGTGTGGGGCCTGCTTGGGATTCTCTCTCCCTCTCTCTCTCTGCCCCTCCCCCACTCTCTCTTGCTCTATAAGTAAAACAGACACATACCTTGGGGGATAAGCACCTCCTCTCATGTTGTAGTTATAGGTGGACTGCATCCGAGAGTAAGGGTCGACAGGCTTATACATTGGTTTTTTTCCAAGTTTCATGCACAGTGCATTTAGCTCTACAGTAGGGGTTATGCTTTCTGCAATACAGAATCAACACAGAGAACTGGTTATTTTCTGACATGAGGATGACAGCTACTAAAATAAAAAAAACAATAGCATGCTTTCTACTAACTGGATTCATAATGCATTTCATGAGAGGATCTAAGTAATTCACTGCTAGGTATCAGGGCAGGAAATCCAAGAATCTGCTGTGATTTCTAGATATTAATACACAGTCAACAGCACAAAATACAATGTAAGAGCTATCAGAGGGGCAGCAACTAGCACAAGATGTTATCAGTGAAAGTCACTCACTCCAGTTATTAGAAATGAGTTCTAATACACATCAAATTCCACGATTAAAAAAAATCCCATGTGACTGTCCAAATCACTTTACTGTTTGGGAGTCCTTAGCCAATATAACTCTGGTCGTACTGACGTGTTGGGTTATTGGCTTACACTTAGAAGTACGTTTATGTACACTATTTCATAGAACAATGCACTCGTTAAGTACTAACTGAATGCAAAGCACTGTGCTAAGGGACACAATTCTTACCCCAGAGGCCTCAATACACTCTCAGAGAACTACTACACAACAGGATGTGCGCTAGAAGGAAAGGTGCAGAATGGAGGAAACAAGTAAATTCTATCTGGAGAAGTTAGATGAGGACCGCAAAATATTCAGATATTTCCAGTCTTAGTATTCACGTTGGGATTTGACCTGTGAGAATACTTGTTAGGAAAATGAGTTCTGTTTCCATATAAACAAGAGCAAGTATAATTTGGGTTATCTCAAAATCATCAACTGTACAAAATACACTGTTCATTTCCCGATTTTTTTTCTCTCATTTCATCCAATTCATAAACCTTTAAGAACATTTAAAAGGAAAACCAGCTGTAAAGAATAGTGTCAGTGCACAATCACATCTGAGAACAACACTTTCACATCAAACACAGAACAACACTAGCAATGGCAAAGTTCAATGTAAACGCACACAAAAATCCACCTTAAAATGCCTCTTTAGGACATAGAGGAAAACAACAGCGACAAAAAAGACTTGATTCTGTACTAGAACTGTTTCAACTAAATTTAGTGTATGAATCAAATTTATAAGCATATCTTTGGATTTGCAAAATCAAAGGGTCACAGAGGTAGCCAGCCTCTCTCTTCTTAATATTAGAATTATATGTCTTATATGATTCGCATGGGTTCTTTTTAAGCATAGCCTAAATCATCTTAAGAACAGCTCTGACCCATAAAAATTTACCTGCAGTAGAGAATGAATCTGAAATACCACAAAGAAGTCAAAAGCAACAAGGAAGGTGTGGCTGAAATCTCCGAGACTCCTTCCTATGCATAAAGGGACTGGGCACTTTGTGTGCCTGACGGTAACGTGGCTCAAACAGCCACTTCCACCCACAGCAGCAGGTCAGTGGTTCCTAAGCTTTTACCAGAAGCTCTTCTTTATTAGTCTTCCCCCTGCTTCGGTCCCTTATTTGAAGATCAGTCCCTTGTTTGAAGAGATGTTATCTACTAATAGTATTTAAGTAAGTAACAAATATTTAAGTAATTTTCTCATTCTTTTTGATGACCAGGAGATGTGTAAATGACAATCTGCTTTTCTGATCAACATGTTATAATTGGTATTTCCACACTGGGTTGAAGTGATTCCAGCTAAGGCCTACAATCTTGGCAATCTGTACAACTTTACAGAGGGGCTAAATGCATTTTCACTAGGCTTCTCTGAACTCTTCGAAATTGTTTGGTGACACCCCACCTCTCAGGACCTTCCTTCTAGACCCTCAGGGATCAAGGAACCAGAGACTGGGAACCATGCTTTAGAGTATGGTTAAGGATTCTAGAAAGATAAGTGTTTGCCACTGGTAGTGTAGAAACCGTGCTTTCAAAATCAACAAGTTAGTTATGAAAGAATGCACACACATACTAAATGGGTACCTCTACACACACTTTTGAAAGGAACCTGTCTTGGCCCACGCATAATACCTGGATTCCTTCCTTCGCTACGAAAAGGGCGGACTATGGGTTTAGGAAATTTTGTTTCTTCCAAAGCTCTGGCAGCAGCTGTGTGCTGGGCTTTTTTAATACTAGTTCCTTCAGCTTCCCAGTGCTGATCTCCAAGGGTTAGCTGTACTGTAAACACCTACAAATGAAAATTGTGAGCTCTCAATTCATGATACCTGATGTTGATTATAATATGTCACTTGGACCTTGAACATTTTTTATGGTCATGGTTTAAAAGGCCTGGTCATTATCTTGGCAATTTATTCCGTAATTCCCATTTTTTGTTGTTTTTATAAACACAATGATATGTGTGTGTGTGTATATATATCATTGACTGGCATTGAACAACACTCTGACAAAGCTATGCTTTGAAAAATGGAGGTAAGTACAGACGTTAAAAAATGTTTTCCTATATATTAAAATATTAGATACTGATTATTTGGAAGTCATTTCCACATAGAAATTGTCTTCCAATTACTTCTCAAGGAAGAAATTTAGCAAACTTGGTTTAGATACATAGTAGTATCTCATGTAAATTAAGACGTTTGTTTTGACGTTCTCATGTTTATGGTCTCTTGTCTGAAAACAACCCCAGCAGGAGAAAAACTTGAATAAATTTGGGAACGTCAGCCAGGCTCTAAAATGTTGCCTTCTATTTTCCTAAGACTATACTATTCAGACACTGTCTCCTCTTTGAGAATAAAATCCAATCCATAGCAAGCAAAGATCTAGAAACATTTCTGAACTCAACAAGGCATCCAAAACAGCTGATTTTGTCCTCAGCAAATGCTGACAATGGCAAGCCTCTTTATTCCTTTTTAAGTATAAAGGTAACCCAAATACACACTCCAGCAAGTGCATCTCTAATAAGCTCCCCTAGTGATTCTGGTGCACTGCAAAGTCTGAGATTCACTCAGGAATTTAGCAAAACCAACTGAAGCTTTTGTTTTTCTGCTTTTTTTTAAATGACTGGATATCACTGTTTCATTCGCAAATAGAAACATTAGTGTGACTGGGCTCCTCTGAATAGGTCCAGATCCTTTAAATTTAGTGCCTAAAGGGATGGGCGCGATGAGCGTTCACAGTTGATTTTTATTGTAGGTCTTAACTTCAGGATTCCCTCAGTACACAGCTTCCACTGAAGGGGGAAAATTCAAGAATCCTTCACCCCAGTGGGACGACTAGGGATCCCCTGTGTTTATGCTGCAGTTCACAAGGTTATTCATTTAGGCACCAAGAGCATGGACTGAAAATCCTGGCTGGCCTAACAGCCAAACAGTAGAAGTCCACGCTGTGCAATCCCTGGGGCATTTTCGTGATCCTTTCGTGGAAAGACATTTAAAGGGAAAAAGCTAAAAAACAAAAAATCGTTAATTTTATTAACAGTTTTGCCTTTCTCCAGGACTTTCCCATCAGCGCTGTTGCCTCTCTGCTGCCTTTCTGTGTGGAGGGTTGGTAACAAGGTTAGAATCCTGGTTTTAATAGAACTGAAAGTACACCAGACCACTTGTTTTTAAATAAATAGTCTAAGAGTCACCTACGAGGGAATAACTTTTCCTCTTTGAACAACTTGTAAATAAAAGTGCAGTTACAGCCAAATTACCTAAAGGACCACTAAAAGGTTAGGTGAGAAAGTACATATTTCAAAAAATACCAAAAACAGTTAATAAAAGGGAATCCCAAAGTTAAGGTCTGCAAAAAAAAATCCTGTAGGAGAAACAGAAGTTACAGGAAATCACTAATTGTCTTTCAAAATTATAGAAACCTTTCAAATATCATTATGCTTTAGAATAATGTTAAAACTAGCTTCATGTGAGTAGAATTTTCTGTGTTTCTTAAATGCATTAATAGCTACCATCTCTCAAGCATCTACTAATTGTCAGGCATTGTGCTCCACACTTTAACATATATTCTCTCATTTAATTGTCACAGCAGACCCATTTGGATAGGTAGTATCCCCATGTTACAGATGAGGAAACGGAGGTTCAAAAAAAACCAGTAACTTGCCCAAGGTCACACAGCTTGATTTAAACCCAGATCTGCCTGGCACCAAAGGTTGCTCACCTAACCACATTACAGTACCTATTTAGGATTGTGGCTGATGATACTTTTAGTCAAATTATAAGAGAAACTTGACATCATTCAAGGCCTGAAGTTTGCATGTCAAGAAAAATAAGGCATAAAGAAACCAATAACTCATCCTTAATTATATTATGTTTACTGCAAGGCTAAGATCAGAAATAGGAGGCCAGATTCCTTCTCTCATACCACACCCTCTCTCACAGTGCAGCTGCAAAGATAAAGCCAGATATGCACACATTTAAGTTCCAGGATTTACATTATCAAACAAGCTCAAAGACTGAATTCCTAAATAACAAACAGTAAAAAATTTAAATTACAGTCAGTCTTCCATTCTCTAAGATAAGAGGAAGGACAAGGATAAGTGAAGTCAGAGACGTTCCAAAGGACTGACTCACTTGAGACTAATTTCTACCTCTCATTTTCAAACCTTTTACCTGGCTGGCTAACAAGTGGCAAAAAGGATTTCCTGTCCCCCTCCTCTCCCTGCAGAGTCTAAGATACATGTGAGAACAAGCAGGAAAGGAGCCAGAGGCAGGCCGCAGCCAGGAGGCCCAGAGCCTGGAAAATTCACAGGAAATCATTCACAGGGGCTTGGGAATTGTCTCTACTTAGAATCCTAAACAAAACCACACACTGATTGGAGTTCCCAAAAAGAAGCATATCTTTTCTTTGACCCATTCTGCAAAGATGAAGAGAAGCGACTTGCCAAAAATCTATACTCTGGCATCTCTTGAAGACAGCCTCAGTGGTTTGGAAATACATATTCTGAACCACAGCACCACTTGGAGCAGCATAAAAAGAGAAAACATTCCTGGTGGGTTATAAATGCACAAGCAGTACGGACAATATTTACCTTACAGTGAGCTGGACCTTGCTCACGCAAAAGCTTATACTCAGGCTGAATCTTGTTGAAACGGGCTAACTCATTCACAAGACACATTGGGGTTTTCTCTTTGGGGTGTGCCATACTAGAAGGAACTGAAAAATAACGTAAGAGCAATAAAGTCAACTAGCAGTATACAGAACTGCTGCTCTCCCAGGGCCACAAAAGAAGAGGGGAAAACGGAAGGTCTAAGGATTCAGAGGAGCAGTGACGCACAACTGCAAACCACGAGGGGACACCTGCCTGAAGACACAGCTGGGGTCTTCTTGGGACCAGCTGAAGCCAGGTAACCTAGGAGGGGGCATGTCTTCCAAGGAGAGAACAGAAGTCAGGGGAATAACTAACCCACGGCAGGCAAGCAAGATTTGAAATCAGATGCTGCACTGGTATTATAACCAACCAAGGGAATAACAAGGAGGTCTTTTGAGCACAGACACACTGGTTCCCACAACAGCTGTCAGCTGTACCCTGTTCGTTATTTCACAAAACTCAACATGCCAATACCATCTCTGAAACAATGACTGTTGTTTTCTACACAGCTAGCATCTCATTCCTGGGGCATCCCCTACCCTGACCTCAGATGCTGCCGTCCTCAGACCTTATTTACTTCTGAGAATTACACAAGTAAAATAAAACGGCCGTGGTGGGCACAGCACTAGGACGTGGATATAAGAACACATTAGAAGAAAAAGCAGTAAATCACAAAAGACTGAGACAGTCTATGACATTTCCTTTTCAGAAGGTCTGCGACAGCAAATGTGAGGAAAACTGAATTCTTAGGGTATTATGACCAGTCAAGAGTGCGGGTGAGCCAATCCAAGGACATCTAGAGGCAGTGTGACAGATGTCAGGCAGCTGAGAGTGGGGTGAGCCAACACTCTAAGAACAGACTGATAAAGGAAATGAGAAGTGGAGGAGGAAGTGCAAGGGAAACTGTCAGACACAAGGGGTTGAATGATCTGTTAGAAGGTGACTCTGGTATGGAGACACTCATCCTGACAGGCCATTTAATTGTTTTTGGCACTTTGCAGAGAGGGTTGGGAAGCAGAATATTTGTTTTCAGGTTTGTTTATTTTTCAGGTGTTTCAAGTCTTTTCTCACGGATGAGCACATTTATTTACTTTTTTTTTTTAAGTTTAAAGTAATCTCTACATCCAGTGTAGGGCCTGAACTCATGACCAAGATCAAGGGTCACATGCTCCACCAACTGAGCCAGCCAGGCGCCCCATCAACAAGCACATTTAGTTCATTTTTATTTTCTTAATAATCAGATTTAAATGCTTCTGACTTATTTCCTCTTTAAAGCTCTCTGCTTCAGTGTTCAATTTCTAATTGGTCTTCACTGTGATTTCTGAAACCACCTCTGGAATCTCAACTTAAACTCAGCTGTTCAAAACAAAAACTAACAAATGCCAATCCTCTCTGGCTTTCCAGTAAATGTGGCTGCTCCCTTGCTTGGGATGTATTCTTAGAGTTATATAAAATGGAGGCTTACACATACAAGAATTCTTGGTCAATTCTGGGAAATAATTTTTAAAGCAGAATTTTCCCATACAATAGCAAATATCCAGACTGGTATTTACTATTCAATTCTTTCTGCTGGGCACCACTTTATAATAAGCTAGGTTTTATAGTTTACTTTTCAATTCTCTTTCTTACACTTTGAAGCGGTCTGTCAACTCAGGCCTCCATCAACCCAATATACAACCAGTGTTTAATATCTGGAAAAAAGAAGCATGGATGATAACATTTTCTTCTGCTTCTTGAAGGTAATGTGAGAGCTCCCTACATCTGCAGTGTACTTATCAGACCAGAAAACAGGCTAAAAAAACATTTGAAAAAGCAGACACTTGGGTTCATAACGCTTACCTGCAGCTGCACTGGCGGGTGTAATAGATGCAGAGGGTAAAGCAGAGTTTTGAATAGGTCTACCTGCATTTTCAGAGGGCAGAGAGCTAGCAGTAGAAGGAATACTCATCAAAGGCTGTGAGAGAAGAGACTGGTTCTTGTTCAGTATTTGGCTCCCTGATAGAGCAGCAGATGGGTTCTGAACTTGCACTTGAACTTGAGACATGGTCACTTTCAACAAAAGTGAACAACTGCAGGTAAACAGCTTTCAGTGCAGGTTAATTCAGTGCTATGAAGTCTAAAGTTCTACCTAAAAGTTGTAAGGGAAAGAAAATAAAAAGGTAAATTATAGAGGAGATATGTAATCGCCAATATTCAGTAAAAATTGGTGTCACCTATTCAAGAATGAAATTAGTCCCGTTTGGCCTGTACCTATGTTGATGTATTAGAAGTGTTTCCCTCCTTGGTATACAGTGAGGTTCCTGGCCTTGTGACTTCCTCACAGTGCTTTTAAAGAACGTACAATACCCATATGTTCTGCGTGTTCATCTTATAAAGAGAATCAGTAGGGTGAAATGACATTCAATACTGAATATTAAGAACTGTGAACTACAGCTTATATTCAAAAAGGCAAATTAAAAAATACGGAGAGGTTTTCCATACCATATAGGATATGGTAAAGAAAGGTTTCTGGCCTCAAAATTGTAACAAGCTGAAAGCAAACCAGGTTTGTAAGACCATTTAATGGGTGAATGTAAACCCTGCTTCCATAGATGGGCCATGTGCTCAGACTGGTACTCTTAGAGTTTTCCTGTAAGCTCACTGAAGAGAAGAGTTTCTCACTTTTGCTGCTGCTTTTTCCTCGTGATAACAAAGATCTATTTGTTTTCGAGATGGTCTCATTAAGGTACAGACCCCAAACAAAAATGTTACATCTACATTAATATGCAAGATCCTGAGAAATCATCTGAATAGTAAAGAACATTCTATAGCCTTTGTACTATTAAAAGCAAAAGTGGAGAAGAGGAAGAAGAGAGGAACAGATTTCAGATTGGTCATTTCACTGGTGTGGCTGGGGAGTGGGACCCGGGAAGCAGAGTAGATGCTTTACTTCATCTTCTAAGTTTCAAAGGCATTACTTCTAAATACATTTAAATTTCCTTCTAAGTCAAAAATAAGGATAGTTCTGCTTACATTCACAGCCATCCTTCAAAAAGCTGAAAATGTTTAAGCAAGTCAAAAGTAATCAAAAATAACCAGTAGCAACAGAGTAGAAAGAGGCATCAAAACAGAAACCAGTAAGCAAATCAAAAGTTCTATTACAGAGTGTTACTTGAATATTTTTTTTAAAGTCTCAAGATGATTTTTAATTAAAGCTGGACCTTTAGAAAGAAATGAAGGACCACAGCAATTAAGTTACTTGAGAAGTTCTGGCACATTCTCTCTTGCCGAGAGCAAAAAGAACTGCAAAACTGAAAACAACAACCCAAATACCTCAGCTGAAATGTGACTTTGGTTATAGAGACCCAAGCACCACCTTGTTCACAAAAATCCCCCATACTACAGTTGTTCCTTGTTTACTTTTGGAGTCTGAACACAGTGACAGAGGGGGTCCACCAAAGACTAGATAATAGATAACTGTCCTGGCAGACAAGTTGCCAATGTCAAGAAACAAGTCCAGAACCAACCAGTAATCAACTAGGACCTGGTGTCATTATTCTGATTTTTTTCCTTCAGTCGTCAAAATAGAAATATTTCTCTCTCAATGCCCCCCACCTCCACTCCCACTTGCTCCCTCTTTCTACACTTCATCTCGATGGCATTTTTCTCCCTCCCCCACCCTTCCCAAAATAATTTATAGTGTGCTCACAGCTTCACAACACCAACCACTGATTACAGGTCAAAAGTAAGTCAAAAGCGGGGCGCCTGGGTAGCTTAGTTGGTTAAGCGTCCGACTTTCGCTTAGGTCATGATCTCGCAGTTCGTGGGTTCGGGCCCCACGTTGGGCTCTGTGCTGACTGCCAGCTCAGAGCCTGGAGCCTGTTTCAGAGTCTGTGGCTCCCTCTCTCTCTGACCCTCTCCTGCTCATGCTGTCTCTCTCTCTCTCTCTCCTAGAAATAAATAAAACATTTTTAAAAAAATTTTTAAAAAATGTTTAAAAAGTAAGTCAAAAAGCAAAGAGTCTGCTCCAGAGCCTACCTGTGTCCCATAAGCAGCAACCCAACCTGCCCTGGGTGGCTCTCAGAGCAGGAGACTGAATAAATGAACTAAATTTAGAAAGGGTGGGGGACACCTGGGTGGCTCAGTCGGTTAAGCGTCCGACTTCGGCTTCGGCTAAGCATCTGACTTCGGTTTGCGGTTCGTGGGTTTGAGCCCCGCGTTGGGCTCTGTGCTGACTGCCAGCTCAGAGCCTGGAGCCTGTTTCAGATTCTGTGTCTCCCTCTCTCTCTGACCCTCCCCTGCTCACCCTGTCTCTCTAACTCTGAGAAATAAATTTTTCAAAAAAAAATTTTTTAAGATAAAAATAAATAAAATAAAATAAATTTGGGGGGGGGGAGGCAAAGGGATCTGTTTTGGCTAATGCTGTCTACAGTAGGCCCACAACCAACATCTCCAGTCACAGACATAAACACAGAGATTTTCTGGAGTTTGAAAAAGGGAACAAATGGTCTTTAATTAAGACTGCCCCCAAAATGTTAACCTCACGTTCACCTGACATTGTATCTTCATAATAACTGGTTGAAACAAGTAGTTCAAAACTGCAAATAGAAATTTCCTAAAACCCTATTAAGACCGTGTACTTTATAAATTTTTAATTTCTACCATGACCAATACAAAAATTCAACAAACAGTACTCATTAGCACATGAACACTTCTATGTACCTTCAAGTCTGAAAAGAGAACCTAATGTAGTGGTTCTAAAGAGGTGACAATTCTGTTCCCCAAAGACATCGTACAAGGTCTGGAGACGCTGCCTGGCTGTCACAGCTGGAGGACGAGATGAGGGACAGAGGGGCCAGGGATGTGATTTCGAGTACACATATACCAACCCACAAAATAAAGTGTTACTAATTTAATAAACTGCTTATATTCTTAGGAAAAGAAAATCCCCTTTTCATCTCAAAAGGCTCTAAAAATTTTTTAGGCTAATATTTTACCCAAACAGATGCTCCTCTCCCAAAGAGAAGCCAGGCAGCTCACATAGTTTAAAATATACTATTTACCCACGTAATCTGAACAAATAAAGCTTCTCACTACTGCTAATTATATGGCTCACAGCAGCATTTAGTGGAATCATGGAATTCTGGAGATACTACTTCTGTATAAATTTAGAACCTGTTGCTGTCCAGTACTCTGCCCTAAAGATTAAAACCTTAAATGAAAACCTGTCTTTTCTTCTGAGCCTATCTTTAAAGATTACTTTCCACCACATAAATTAGGGACCCAAAAGAGATTAAAGTGATTTGTCAGTCTTCTTATAAAAGAACAATATTTTACACACCATAAAATTAAGCTGAAAATCGAAAACACCAAAACTTCAGTTTCCCCAGCTCTGGAAACACCTTTAACTGTTAGGCCTGTGCTGTGCTGCTCTTTCCCTGCTTCCAGCACAGATGAGGGCCTTTAATCTCCTGGCTTCTCTTATTTGAAGAGCTGCAGACATCAACTCAGGAAAATATGCTCATCATATTCTCAAATCCTTATATTTATCTAGCAAAAATAATAAGCACTGTAACACAGAGAAGTGATAGGGCAGAGTTACGGGTACCTTCTTTTTAAAAAGACTCAATAATTCCAACTCCCCGCAAGTCCCAAATTCAGCTTGGTGATACAAAAGTCTTCTCATAAAAATAAAGAGTCCCACTTTGGCTGGCAGCTTCCTTTTTACAAGTGTCAAGTACTTTTTAATGGGTAGTAGGCAAGGGGAATAAGGGCACATGAATACTACAAAAGCATTTTTTTTAAATTATACACATGTGGGGCGCCTGGGTGGCTCAGGTCATGGTCTCACCAACTATCAGACTGAGCCCCTCATGGGGTTCTGTGCTGACAGCGCTGGTCCTGCCTGAGGTTCTCTTTCTCTTTTTCTCTCTGCCTCTCCCCTGCTCACACGCACGCTCTCACTCTCTCTTTCAAAATAAATGAATAAACTTAAAAAAGAGATTATATACAACATGCTAAAAAGTGATCAGGCACAAATGCAAATTCCTCACACAGCACTGATTTACTAAGACTAGGCCATAGCGAATGCACTGAGTGATCTGTTTAATACACAAGAAGGTTGATCCTTCTAGAAACAGTTTACAGAACTATCTGCAAGAGTGCTTAGTCTTACTTTCAACTACCAGATTGTTAAATCGCTGTAATATGAAACAACTACTTCAGCAATTATGGAGGAACATCATTTTTAATATCCAATTTGTAGCTACAGTAATACATGACTTTACTTTTGTGTTCAACACATCATTCCCCTTTGCAATAAGTGATGTTTCCAAACAAGGTGTGTGAAAGAAAGAAAAACGAAAAAGAAATCATCCCAATTCTGGACAAGCTTTTAAGATAGCCACAAACATTTCCGTAAATACCTCTTCCTTCAAAGTCCTACCTCAAATCTTACGTGGCATGGGCACACAAATACAACCGTACTCCAGTTCCCTGCCATGATAAAACATTAGCTGTAGGAACAGCCATTTTAGAATAGTATATTTATTCAACATTCAACAAAATTTATTAAGCATCTACTACATGTGAACCCCCTTATACGGCAAATTAAACTTTTCCTCAAAGGCACAAAAAGGGATCTTTAAGCAACCAACTGTAAACCTATTGATGTGTTCTTTAGGTTTTGAAAGGTTCCACTCTCTGAGAAACTTTGTCAACAATAATAAAAAAAGTTAAGGAGTAAACCACTTTGTCTACAATAGCCTTGAAATACATCTAAAGTGCCCACGTTATTCCTTTAAACTCAACAGTTATTTCCAAGATCCTTTGTGGACACATCTTAGAAAATGCAATGCAGTCGTATGTTTTCTACAAATAAACTCACCCCACCTCCCTGCCGTCACCCCCCATCCCTGCTCTGATCCCCAGAACAGCAATTCATTGACTCCAAATATCATCCAAGCACCTGCAGGCAAGAGCAGCTGCAAAAACAGAAACATGGCAATCACTATACTCCTACATAATCAATTCTAAAAAGATAACAGCAACATCAAGCAAATAATATCCCATAGCAGGCCCATATATCAAATTACCCAATAATTAAAAGGTTCTTTAAAAGAAATATGACCCAACTACTTAAGACAGAGGGAAAAACAAAACAAAACAGACCACTATGTACTTGGTGCTCAAAAGAAAGACAGGACAAGTAGCCCTGAGGAGGCACAATCACTCGCAGGACAATAAAATCAGCCAAAAATAATGCCTGGAAACAACCCAGGCTGTTGGAGATCTTTGCATCCAAGTGACTGAATGTGGCCCCTGTCTCCCACTTGGCTCAGTGCCAAGTGGGAAGTGGAGGATTTTCTTTCCACACAAATGTAACCACTGGGTGGTCCATTTAAAGAAACACGTCCTAAAAGAGAATTCATTCTCAATTGTTCATCCTAGAAAAACCATCACAACTGTCTACTAAAATGGAAAAAAAACTTTACCTCTGCAGCTGAATAAGCTGCAAACCTTACTTTTTTCCTCGCTTTGAAACCTTATCAAGCTCCTCTCCTCCATTCCCTAGGAGGAATTCTTAAAAATAACTAAAGTCAAATAACATTTCTTGTAAACATGGAAATGGCTTTTAGAATCTAAACTTATAGAAACAGAAAAATGTTTTAAAGCAACCAAAATGAATAACTATTCATGATTTGCTGCAGATTTCTAAGAGCAGTACTCTGTGACCTATTCTTAAATAAGAAGGGGCTTAGTTCAACATAAAGTTAACTGGCTTTTCCTTTCAGAAAAGGGAAATTGTACTCCGTAACTATGTGCCATCTACCTAGAAACACGACTGCATTTACCATCATCTTCATGCAAAACAGACCAGAGCCAAGACCCAGTTTCTAAGAAACCAGCCTTGCTGCTAAGTAGCAAACAACAATGTTAAATCAGATCGAACTTGAGTTGTGGCTTTCAGTTCTACTCTCAAATGAAATAGCAATTATCCACCTAATTCTTGGCAATCCACTGCTTAGTGCCTCAGTTTCCCCAGAACACTTTGTAATAGGAGATTCGACAAAGCCTCAGCTGTAGCAATCTGAGAGCTGAAACAATGAAGAAATCCTGAAGCACGGTAACAGTTATTCCGTTTTTGTTGTTGTTGTTTGAAAAGAAAAGCATTAAATAAACCCAGTGTAAATCCATTCACTGAGCCTGGTACAACTTCTCTCATTTCCTCATTCCCAAAGAAAGCTGGGTTTAACTTGTCCACTAAGCACTACCTTGGAGATCCGGTATAATGATGTGCTTTCAGCTCTCAGAGGTGAAGTGCTAAAAACAAAACGGAGTCCTGGCAGGTGCAGTGAATGGCACAGTGCCCTGACATAAAACTGTATCATCTTTTTGATCCAGATGATCACAAGCAGCCAGTAAATGGAACCTGATTCATAATCCTATCTCATGACAGAAAACAATGCTGGATTCTTTCCACAAGTTTGAAAACCAAGTTTTACATAAACAACCTGAAAATTCAAAGGCAAAACTACAAAAGCCACTAAAATCAGGATGCTCACCAACTGAGTTATGTTTAATGACAACTTTAGGGGGGACTGGGTAGCTCGGTCAGTTTAGTGTCTGACTCTTCAACTAAGGTCATGATCTCATGGTTCCTGAGTTCTAGCCTTGTACTGGGCTCTGTGCTGACAGCATGGACCCTGCTTGGGGTTCTCTCTCTCTCTCCAGCTCTCTCTGCCCTTTCCCTACTGGCACTCTTGCTCGCTCGCTCTCTCTCTCTCAAAAAAAAAAAAAAAAAGACAGCTTTAGTGGTCAACTTTCATGTCTCAACATTTAAAGTATATGGCAGTGCAGGCTAAAGGGCTTTCCATTCTAGCCAGCAACCTTCCCTGCATTTAGTTTCTAATTAAATCTCAAGAGTAAAAAGAAATTCAAACTGCAATTTCTTCTGTTTCTCTAATATTACAGCCAGAAATAAAAGTCATTTTCCACACAAGTCATTCAAGAGTTCAAAAATCTTAAATTAAGAACAGGCCTGAAATTATGGTGTCAAATTATGTGTACCTTAAAAAGAGGTGCTCCAGGAATAACGCTGTTTTGGTTCAGTTCTAAGAGGTTATGTGGTTAGGAAACTCCTAGAAAATAAGAAACAATAATAATTTACTAGAGTAGATCATTTCTGAAAACGAAGATAATACACTGTTCAAATTTTGGGAAAACCAAAAATTTACAGGTAGGGAAGTTTCTGAAAGCATGATGTCATGGCTTAAAGCAGCACACTGTAGAATCCAGGCAAGATACAACCACCAACGGGGTAAAGAGTACTTTGTGGAGACGTGACCACAAGAGAGCTGTGAACACCTCGAAACTAATTTTAAAGAAAGAAACTGGACATCATATACTGCCTGATCACACAAGCCTGAAATTTAAACTTACGGATTTTTAAAAACTGCCCAAATATTCTGTTCATAAAGCCTTACCATATGCTTGGTGACACAAATATAAGTGCAAGAGCAACTTTATAAAAAGGCACTTAGTACATAAATATTTTTATATTAAATTGCAAAATACAAAAAGCACATTAGCTCGAATAAATCCAAACCATAATCATTCTTTAGAACTGGATTTCAGGTGACATAAGAGTTTAATTCTCAGTCTCTAGGTCTGATTTAGCTACAGGTATCTTCCTTTTTAAAGGGTAGAACAGGGGGACCCTTGAACAACACGAGCGTTAGGAGTGCCACACACCCCCCCATACACAGTGGAAAATTCACGCAGAACTTTTCACTCCCCAAAGACTTACTCACTAGTAGCCTAACTGCTGACCAGAAGTCTTACCGACAACATTAACAGTCGATTAACACGTATTTTGTATGTTATATGTATTGTATAGAATATTCTTCCAATAAAGCTAGAGAAAAGAAAATATTAACAAAATCATAAAAAGAAAAATATGTATACAATACTGTATTTATCAAAAAAAAAAGTCCACGTATAAATGGACACATGCAGCTCAAACCCATGTTGTTCAAGGGCCAACTGTAGTCAGTAACAAAGAAAATTCCTTACCTTGAGACGCCCTTTGCATTTTTACAACATTAAGTTATTTCATTCATTTCAATTCCTCACTGCTACTGGGGCTTAATAGAGGATGGAAGTAGCTGTTCACTGTCCAAAACTTCAGAAATAAAATAAACTCTACTTTGTTTTACAGCATTTTAACAACTCAAGTTCTTTTGTAAATAGTATACTATACTAACAACTTGCTCCATTATCTCACCCATTCACAAGACTCGCATTAATGGAAACTGAAGAAGGCTTCTGAGCAGCGCAGAGAGAGATCTAAGACCACCTTGGAGAGCCCATGCCTTTTGCTCCTGGAGGCCTCCCCTTAGTTCAAGTCTATCCGTGCTGAACCATTATGGTTAGGTTTGGGTATCTGTCTTTTAGCCCAGAAATTTAAAAAATTAGAATAAAATAAATAAATCAGAATGGAAAAAGGGAGCTGCTAGAATCAGACATCATGACAACAGTAAGAAACCATCACCAACAACTTTACAGCCAAGAAAAGAGGAGGGGAGAGAAATACAGCAGCATGCAACCATTTGGATTTCAGACATGCTTACACAACACAAGGAGAGCTGACACTCATCCAAATTCACACTCCTGTGAGCAAACTCAGTTTTTGAAATCCCCCAACCATTTTCAAATGATAATCCCAAACCATCATGATTATTACCAGTGTATCTACACAGCACTTACTCTCTCCAAGCAGTGGTAGAGAAGACAGGGATTAAGCCCAACTCTTTCTTTCCCACTCAAGAACACACACTAGAATGCAAAACAGTGAATTACATTCATTGCTTTATTTATTCAACAATTACTGAACACCTATTCGCAGGCAGTATTCTAGGCACCAGGGAGAAAGGACTGCACAAATAAGATACAGTCCCTTCCTTGTGGAATTCACATTTGTACAGGAACAACCTGGAACCTAACATAAACTTAAATAAATAATTCACAGTGGCACTTTAACTTGTAGCAACAAATCATTTATAATAACACATCACTTCCTAACTAAAGAAGACACTAAGAACACAAAGACCCCTTAGCTGCAAAATGCTGATTCGGAATGAGGGCAAACCAGCTAGCACTGGGCTGTTTCCTATATGGTGGAAGGAAATTTGTCTGGAGATCTGAGTTTGGGTCCCAACTCTGGTGCTCAGTTGGATGATAAATGCTTCATTTAATAGGGTAAGAGACTTCAACCTTTTAATATATTAAATGGGGTTAGCACCACCAAATTCATATGATTAATAAAATAATAACTGTGTACTTCTTGGGTGGATTAACTGATAATGTAGGTGAAATGCTTGTAAAGTATAATATTCCATGCCAAGGTTAGCTGTTAAACATCACTTTCTTAGGATACGCTGTAACTGATATTATAAAATGACATAAGTCACGTTCAAAACACATTATTGCGGCACCCAGGTGGCTCAGTTGGCTAAGCATCCGACTTTGGCTCAGGTCATGATCTCTCAATTGTGAGATGAATCTCCACATTGGGCTCTGTGCTGATAGCGGCTCTGTGCCACTTCGAGCCCCCTGTCCACCCTCCCCCTCCAAGAGCGCTCTCTAAATAAAACATTTAAAAAAATTTTTTTAAAGAAATAAACTTTTTCAATATTTAAGGGAAAAAAAGCAAAATTAGAAAGAACTTTACCCCCCCCCCCCATTTACTTTATTCTTTTTTTATGTTTGGTGCTTAAACAGGCAATTCTGTTAACAGGAAAATCAGTACCCAGCAATAGTCATACTCTTAATGTTCCAGACAGTAAAGGTTCACTATACTACAAACCAAAAGGGAACTTATTTACCTAAACTCTATTTGACTGTCATCTAGGTGAAGGGTCACAGAGCTTCAATGAGCAGGTTGGTTAAATTGTGCAACAAAGAACATAAGCCTCCAGGCATAATCAGACTTATCATTACATATAAATAAATTATCTTCTTTCTGACAGAGGAAAGGGCGGCCTAGCATTTTGTACAAAATCACAATGGCATCAGCAGACATGGCCCTGTTTGTATCAGAGTGGAATCTGCAAGAGTAGAAAATTCATGCCTCAGTTAATTTTAATCTATAGAAAGCAAGGACCTCAGAAAGCAAAACTGTGAGAAAATCAGACAAGATCTAGTTAAATCAAAAAGCTCATGCCTGAGGGGAGCCGATATAGACAATTTAAGAAGAAGCATGTGCTCACTTCATCCCCAAAGACACATTTCCAACACCTTTTCATGATTAATGAGACACACGTATGTCATTACAGACTACATGGTCACTTGGGTTGAGGTTGAAACACATAATGGAAATTCACACAGCATCTCATGAAAACCCCAAATCTAAAGGACAGGTTTCATTTCACTGAGGTAGCCGTTTATTTAAAAAAAATTTTTTTTTAATGTTTTTTATTTATTTTTGAGAGTCAGAGAGAGAGCACGAGCAGGGAAGGGTCAGAGAGATACAGAATCTGAAACAGGCTCCAGGCTCTGAGCTAGCTGTCAGCACGGAGCCTGACCCAGGAACTGTGAGATCATGACCTGAGCCAAAGTCAGACGCTTAACCAACTGAGCCACCCAGGCGCCCCTGAGGTAGACTTTTAAAACTAGCCCTAAGGGACCACTACTGCCTGGGTGGAGAACCAGAGACGCTTCCTATTCAAGGAGATCAGCAATTCAAAGAAAGGCAGTTCAATACCAAACAGAAAGTTACATGAAATACTCCCAATACCCTGTGTCAGCGAGGAAATGGATGTTAGAAATGGCTGCGAGGCAAAGAGGGCAACAACCACCTAGCCCTATAAAGTTAATTGGAAGTTTAGTTAACTCATATCCAATAAAGTAGAATATTATAATTTTAAAGAAAATGATGTTCAGGGTGCCTAGGGCTCAGTCGGTTAAGCATCCATACTCTTGATTTTGGCTCAGGTGGTGACCTTGCAGTTCAGTTTGTAATATGGAGCCCCACAAAGCTTGCATGGGATTCCCTCTCTCCCCCTCTCTGCCCCTCCCCTGCTCTCTCTCTCTCAAAATAAATAAACATGAAAAAAAATAAACTGATTTTCTTAACAACCTTGTCTACAGTTCATAAATCATTTTTAGCAAACTTCATGAATGATTATAGCAAATAATTTAGGGGAGAGCCTCCTATAGGTTAATGAAACATCCTCCTCCCCATTTACTTACTTCTAAGTAGTTACCCCAACCCCACAAACTCTGAATCACCTTAAAAGTTTTAGTTTGACTGTAGTAATCTATCACAACAAACAAAAGTAAACTGTAAGTCTTCAAATATTTCAAGGGAATGATGAATAGGGTTCATTTTAAATTTTTTTTTTAATGTTTTTTATTTATTTCTAGGAGAGAGAGAGAGAGAGAGAGACAGCGTGAGCAGGGGAGGTTCAGAGAGAGAGGGAATCACAAACTGAAACAGGCTCCAGGCTCCGAGCTGGCAGTCAGCACAGAGCCCGACGCGGGGCCCGAACCCACGAACCGCGAGATCATGACCTAAGCGAAAGTCGGACGCTTAACCGACTAAGCCACCCAGGCGCCCCGAATAGGGTTCATTTTAAAGACAGAGTATTACCGATACAGACTTTTTTCACATTGGTCTTAAGTTCTGGCGAACAAAAATCATCCAAGCTATGGTGAAGCACTGTGACACACAGAAAAAATCATCCTAAACAAAAAGCACCTGAGCATAATTAGAGACGAAGGCTGGAGGTTCAACGGCTAGAGCTCAGGACCCCACTCCAGTTACTGGGCCTCCTAGATAGGCCTCCGTATTCTCAGCCACTATGAACCAGTGTCTGCAAAGACGTTTTCAAGTATCAGAAGTACAACATAAAGCATCTACTTCAACTCTCAGCACAAAGGAAGAGATAAACAGCAGCTTTTCATATTATTAAATTCAATCTGACCCTTCAGATTCCTTTCTTGCATCAAGTAACCCTCATCCTGTAACCCTAACCTACCTAGCACACGGTTAAGAGCTCAATAAATAGTAGCAAGTATTATTATCCAGCAAATTTACTAATCCTGTCCTCAGCCACATAAACATCTATAAATATAAGCT